AAGAAATGAATAGTTAAAATTTAATTATTATGATTTTTTAAATAAAAAATAATTAATTATCTTTAAAAATAAAATAAAAACAAATAAATCTCAACTATTCATTATAGAGAAATGAATAATAAAATTTTTTTGTAAATAATATATGTAAAAATTATATGAATATGTAAAAATTATGTGTAAATGTATCCCAATTCTATAAAATAAAGACAAAGATCTATATTTCAAAAAAAGAGAAATATTTATGAATTTTTTTTTTTGTATTTTAGAATGAGCTAATGACACTTTTTTTAGCACTCTATTTGGATCCAATACTCATAAGAGAATTAATTATAACAAAAGAAATGCCCTCTATTAACCCACAGGATAATGTACAGTCATCAAGGCAAGCGTACCCGATGTAAAAAAAGAACAAGTCATCATGTAAAAGTGTAAAAATTGTACATATGTTTTCAACACAAGATTTGCATTCAATTAATTAAAAGTGAAGTGACATTCCTTGTATTTTATGTCAGGTCTTGTCACATGGATTAATATACCTCTTAAATAGGAGCCCCTCAAACAAAATTTGAGTTTTGATATCATATAAAAATTGTGTATGTGAACTCAACACAAAACTTTCATTCAACTTAAAATCAATTAACTGTATGTGGAGTGATTTTCCTTGTATTTAATTCACAAATTTCTTATTTTTATATTCGATGTGGAATTTTCTCGTTTACCAAAAGTATGCCCTAGATGAATCTCCTATAAATACACCTTTACCACTAGTTATATCCGCCACCTCCAATCAAAAAGAGTTAAGCTATCTCTATGTGTTTCTCTTCAACTTTATTGGTCACTCTCACTCTATCTCCATCATCTAGTTAGGTGCAGATTAAGCTTTTGTTAAGGTCGGTGGGTCTATAACTATATATGAAAATGTTGTCGAACAAAATTAGCTCGAATTGTCACTGGGAAAACTCATCCTACTTCTTGGGGCTGAACGCATCTGAGAAAGATCGGTACCATAAATTTCTAAATCCCTCCGGCATCATTCAAATGTGCCTCGCTGAGAATCAGGTGGGTTGATGAATGAATATTTTTTAAAATACAGTTTTGAAACTTCTCTTGTTTTTCTTTTCCCCTCAATTTCTTGGGAATCCCATCATCCCCTTTTTTCAAAAAGCCCCCTTTTTTCTTAACGTTATGGTGCAGTTAATTAAATACCGTGAAATTTATGAAAAATTAAGTACTTAATTAGACATATGGGTCTTGCAGGTTTCTTTGGACCTTGTTGAATCATGGATTGAGAAGAACTTGGATGCAGTTCGGCTGAGAAAAGATGGCGCATCTCTATTCAGAGAACTAGCTCTCTTTGAGGATTATCACGGCCTTCATGCTTTAAAAATTGTAATATTATATTCATGAGTACATAAGAATAAAACTAATAACATTAATTACCACAAACTTGAACCTAATCAAGAACATTATCTCTACAGGCCCTGGCAGGGTATATGGAAGAAATTAGAGGAAGCAAGGCCAAATTCTTTGATCCACACAAGTTGGTGCTCACTGCTGGAGCAACTGCAGCAAATGAGACTCTCATCTTTTGCCTTGCAAATCCTGGTGAAGCCATACTTATACCTACACCATACTATCCAGGGTAGGTACTTTCTTTTGGTACTAGTATGTTACTTTCTCCGTTTAATATCTTGAAATCTAGACCACAAATAATTAGACCATAATTAAGTTTACCGAGTTTAATCGAATTGGTTTATATTAATAACAAGGTTAGGTGTTCAAATTGTACTATATATTTTGTTAGGTGCTGAGTAGTTCCATTTCATTAATGTTTCATAACTACTGTAACAAAAATTCTCCTTTTTATGTTACTTGCAGGTACGATAGGGATCTTCAATGGCGAACCGAGGTCAAAATTGTTCCGATACATTGCTCCAGTTTAAATGACTTTAGAATAACCATGTCGGCGCTAGAAGCAGCCTATGAAGATGCCCAGAAACTCAATCTCAAAGTTAAGGCTGTTTTAGTGACGAATCCTTCCAATCCTTTGGGAAGAACTCTGATCCAGGAAGAGCTCAACAATCTCATTTCTTTCGCCATTGACAAAGAAATTCACATAATAAATGATGAAGTTTTTTCTGGGACGGTTTTCGATTCCCCCGGCTTCACAAGCGTTATGGAAGCTGCTTCCAACAGAAACCTCCAGGGTTGTTCTGTCTGGAGCCGCATCCACATTGTCTACAGTCTCTCGAAGCATCTCGGCCTCTCTGGATTTCGTGTTGGAATGATTTATTCTAACAACGAAGCCATCGTCAGCGCCGCCACTAAAATGTCGAGCTTTGGCCTCGTTTCGTCGCAAACTCAGTTCCTGCTGTCAAGCATGCTGGTGGACAAGAAATTCACCGCAAAATATATAAAAGAGAATCAAAAGCGGTTGAAGAAGAGGAAGGAGATGTTCGTTTCGGAGCTGAAGAAGGCTGGAATCGAATGCTTCAGAGGAAATGCGGGACTATTTTGCTGGGTCGATATGAGGAATTTTTTGTCGTCTTCGACATTCGAAGCAGAGGAAGAACTCCAGAAAAAGATGTTATACTCTGCTCGGTTAAATGTTTCTCCCGGATCGTCATGCCACTGCTCCGAACCTGGCTGGTTCAGAGTCTGCTTCGCGAACATGCCGGAGGAAGCGCTGCGAGTTGCCATTCAGCGTTTCAAGATCTTCGCAGAACTGAGCACCGCCGCCGCTGGTGGCAACAGCCGCCAGTCTCTGCCTCATGTGAAGAGAAAATTGTCAATCGTTAAATAGGTTTGCAAAGTGACTCCGTCGGATGCCGTGGATAGCTCTGATTTGCATCAGGGAAGCAAAAGTGCAAGGAAAAAAAAAAAAAAAAAAAA